TTCACATGGCACTGATCTTGCTCTGTTTGATCAGAGTCGGTTCCAATGGCTTCCACAGCTTTAACTGTGGATGGTGGATCCATGCCCTTTGTCCTGGGAATTGGGGGACCTAAGTCTCCAGGAAGGCACAAGGAGGATCGATTTTCTTCCCCGTGAGCCTGGGTAAGCCCGTATTGATGGAATGCCTCTTGGCATCAGACTCCTCTTACGGCATACTGCTGTATTAAGGAGACTTCACAATCTACAGCTGGCTCCGTTACAAGGAAAGGCCGCCCATAGAAAACTTCATATGGGCTTAAAAACGTAGGTTGCTCTGGGGCAACTCGTGAGATGCGACAGAGCTACTGGCAGTGCATCTTCCAGTTCATCTGCATCTCTTGTGTCAATTTCCTGAGGGTTCGCTTTAAGTGTTGGTTAGTTCTCTCTCCTTGCCCTGAGAATTGTGATCTCTAAGCACAGTGGAGACAGTAAGTTATTCCTAAGGGTCAAGCTACTGAGGAAGGAGGTTCGGAGAGAGTGGACCACACCAAGTGGGGAACCATGTACTGGCCTCCGTCCATGCATGACCAGGGTGGCAGACTGGTCACAGCAATCCTTTGCTGCTGGGCCATCCAGCTGAGCTGCTTCAATCCTCAGTTAGCAGTTGCAGACTCGCCAGCACATTGCTCTCCTCTCGTGTCTTCTCTGTAGGACAGTGCTGCCTGTGGCCGGTTTGTTTACAATAGCATGGCCCTCATCGGGGAGACCTATTTCCATTAGGGGAATCCTTTGCACAAGCGGCCCACACGCCGATACATATAGCATTTTGCATCCTGTGCAGGGGTCTTTGGAATTTGGGAGGTTGTAGATGGAACTGATTAGCCATGGCGGCAGTAACTGCACGTCTTTCCTTTTCTCCTTGTCCTGAACCAGAGCCTCTTGCTCCCTATCTGTATTGCCAAAAGAATTGGCAATAGTTAAACATCTGCAAATGTCTTAGCTTCCTCTCTTACTTGCTGTTTCTCAGAATCTGTCATAATCTGTTCTAGAATTATCATTACATCCTTCCAGGCCAAGTCGTAGGCCAGGAGGAGGTCCTGCAAGGTGTCTATACTGTTCTGGATTATCTGAGTAGCTGCCTAGGTCACTCTTAATCGGCTTGAGTACAATTAGGGAGAAAGGTTTATGAATCACCCAAAACCTAAGTTCTCCGGCTGCCTCTCCCAAAGGTAGAACGTTGGCGGGCCCTCTTCCTCTTCGGGTTCTCTAGGTTTAGTATCGGCGTGTGGTGTAGTTGGGCTCGGGGCTGAGCAGCTCTCAACTCCAGGCAGTACGACCTTTATAAGGTCTTTGGTATATTTGGAACAAAGGTCTTTACTGCTTCTCAAGAGGAAACATGCCTGGACATCAGGGATTTCAGCTCACTTTCCCACCCCTTCAGAAAAGCTCTGGCTGTATTAGAGTAGGGAGGGAGAGTGCGCCATGCTTCCGCCAGGATTCCCCATCACCTGGAATGGACTGGGGCCAGAGAGAGTTGCAGAAGAACACGAGTTTCTGCTTCTTTAGCATCTGTGGATCAAATCTAGACCAATTAGACAGAATGCAGTATAAAGGCATTGCCTGAGGAATGGACTCTTGGTTGCCCATCTAGAAAACACATGGGAAAAGGTTAGAGTACATAGCATCCTGGGGTCTTTGAAGGGAGGTTCTGATGCCGTGGAAACCTGAGGGCCTTAGAAGGACATCTCTGTCCTTGGCGGTATCAGGACCCAGCCTTAAGCCAGCTGACTAGGCCTGGCCATTTTCTAGACAGCAAGCCAGGCATCTTGGTACCACCAGCTAATGGGTGGCCCACCAGTTAATGGGTAGCATCGTCAAGCCATATTAATGGTTCAATCCTAAACAATCAACTCTAGGGAAACTGGGCTATGCATTTATTAACCCAACAGAATTGTACCAAGGAGGGCAATAGCCTGGTGAACAGAGCCATCATTGTGTGGAGGCAGGAGGCCCAGGCTGTGCTTCAGAAGCCCCCGGAGTGATCTTGAAAACGATAGGATTAGCAACCGTTCAGTGACCGAACTTCCAAGTGTCTTTTGGCCAATGCTTGGCAAAAGGAAAAACAAACAGGAAAACGAAGACTGTAAACAAAACAGAGCTGACTCAAGAAAACAAGGTATTCCCTTGCCACCTCGCTTATCTATAAACCGGAGGATGGATGCTCGGAGATACGGAAGTCCAGCGCCTAGGAACATGTAGTTTTGGACCAGTGGGTGGAGCAAGAGACGCCATCTTGGCAATGAGTCAGCAGAGGGTCATGTGTTCAGCTGTCCTGCAATATGGCAGAAAGGAGAGATGAGAAATCATGGGAGGAGTGGGTGCATTCCTACACAGAGACCAACAGATTCAACAGCACAGGTGAGCAACAGTTGGAGGTTAAAGGAAGGCAGCAGCTATGGGGTAAACTGTGCCAGAAAGTCAAAGGAAGGTGAAAGGAGTGCTTGGCAACAGGAGTGTCGGGCCTGCACAGGCAACAGTCTTCTGACAACGTCACGGAAAAGGAGGCTGTAGCAAAACATAGAAGCAGGAACTACATAGGAAACTAGGAAGGCAGGCCCATGGGGGATGGTCAGGTATAGGGTTCCAGCAGCCATCTTGTCAGAGCACGTGGTTGCCGACATTTACACGTGGCCCCCAGTGAAGTAGGCCCTAAGTTCACGGCTATGCAGTCGGCTCTAACTCACAGCAGTTCCATAGGGCAAGGTTGAATGGTCCTGTGGACCTCCAGGTCTATAGTCTTATATGAGGGCCAGAAAGTCCCATCTCCTCCCACGAAGGCTGGTAGTTTCAAACTGCAAATCTTGCCGTTTAAGTCCAACACTTAGAAAGCCTGACCCAGCCACCAGGGCCCCTCCACTTCTACTTAAGTAGTGAAAGGTGATGCATCCAGTTACCACGGACCTTTAACAGTTGTCTTGACCACCCAACGGCCCTCAAAGTAGCTAGAGAGCCGCCTGGATCCATCACCCTCGAGCAGAGGTAGCACTGGAGAGAAGAGGGGAAGGCACCCAGTAGGACCAGCCCCTGAAGCTAAACCTCTGCGCCAATCATCTTAGTGTTGATGCACTTGTCTTGAGGGATGACTGTTCAGACATTAACCATATTCGTGCCCTGGGTACATCAGTGATTTGATTCCACAAAAGAAGATGAGCAGTTGAAGTACCCTAAGGCTCATTTGCTAACCTGCTCACTCTTGCTTCTGTTTTTTTCCATTGCTTAAGCTTGCTGTGTCTGCATTAGTTTTCCCATCCAGAGCCACCGGATTCAAAATTTTCCCTGTTAGCTTTTTGAGACCCTCTCATATATCAGACTTCAACAAGGTATGTCTGGCTAATATATTTACAGGAGAAGTTAGAATTAAGCTTATTATACCCAAGTGATGACTCAAAATGTGAAAGTGGACAGGATTGAAATTGGTAATAAATGTGTGTGACTGGTTGAATTCTTCACTGTTAATAAATTTATATAAAGTTTTCAAAAACAGTTTTATTAGCCCTCCATCTGCATGTCATACAATTCAACATGTAATCATGTCAAGAAGAGTTGTACAATTGTCATCTTATTCAATTCTAGAACATTGTCTTCTTCCTTGTAGTCATTATTATTCAAGTAATTTTTTTCTAATTGTGGTGAAAATATACACGACAGAACATTCTCCAATTCCACAACTTCTACTTGTATAATTCAGTGTCATTGATTATACTCTTTGTGTTGTACAACTATTATTGATAACCAAATTATTTAAAAATTATTCTACCTAAAGCTTTTGGTTTTATGATAGATTGATGGCGGTATTTTTATTTATGGTACTTGTTATATTGCTGTGTATGTGTTTATTGGAGTTAGACTGTGAAGACATTAAGTCTCAAAAAAAGCAAAGATGCACATTAAAAATAATACATATTTAAAAAAAGTGAATATATCTCTATGTTTTTGTTCTTCTTAATTTAATAAGTATTCCAGTACTCTGTCAGGATGCCATGTTTATGCTCTGAGGGGGAATGGGAGATGAATAAATGATGCTAAGCTTCCGGATGCACTCTCACTATCACCACGCCAGAGCTGTACTTTTCTTATTCGTTTCTATTTTAAGATTTATTAACAACAACAAAGAAATTAGGGCTTATAGTTAAGATAGTTTGAAGACAGTTTGTATGTATGTTTTTGTATGTTTACAAGCATGTAAAATGATTTTTAAAAACATTTGAATGTATTAGGCAGGGTTCTCTAGAAAAACAAAACCAGGCCACTTATGATTTTATATATGTGAGGATCGGTTTATACAGCGAGAAAGAATATAACAGCTAATTAGTCCACACGGCAGTACAGAGGGCTCAGTTCAGCTCACTTTCTCGGGAACAGTTAATATACTAGAAATCCTTCTACTCTTGTGGCCTTCGGGGTCCAAGGTCAAGGACGCAGACCAGAGCCTTCCCTCAGGCAAGGCAGGCAGAGTCTGCCCACAGGCAGCATACAGCAGGGTGGACCGGCAATAGTCAGTAGCTCAGATTCTTAGCAAGGCAGGCCTGATGGGATCTGGACCTCAAGCAGGGGGACAAGATCTATCAGCCTCAAGCTCAAGCAATGTATGCACCAGAGCGTGGCAAAACAGGTCTCGAGGAACCTCTAGCTCTAACTACGTGATCCGTGGCTTGGCTGGACCCACAGGTAGTGTAGCTCACAGGTTGAGGCAGAGAACTAGCTAAAGCTGTAGCAAGCTGGTCCAATCACCAGGGAGCAAGAGAAACAGGGGCGGACCTTGCAGAGCCATTTATCTCGTTGCCTTCCAATCAAGCTGTGACCTGATTAAATTCTGCCCACACATTCCTATTGGCCTAGTTGGCATGATGAACCTACCTATCACATTGAACATTAAGCTTTTGATTTCTGTTATATTTTGTTACAATGTAGTTTTTTGTTGTTTGTTTCAGTTGTTATATTTGTAATTTCCTCTTCTGTAGGCTCTCAACAGACCTCACATCTCTCTTCTTATGAAATTATAACTCCTTGGAGGTTAACTAGAGAACGGAGACAAGCTCCCAAGCCATATTCAAAACAGGTAAGTTGTATTCTGAGAAAAATGTGTGTGTTTATATTTTCCTTTTTTGGGAGTTGGGAATTAACACAAGTTTTTTCATTAGTAATTGGTCCAGTTTTTATTATGTTAATCTTAATGTCAGCCAGTGATTAGTGTAATACACATGGAATTGGTATACATTTGATATTCTACTAAAAGCAACAAATCGATTCTTAATTTCTTTGTTTTTAAGCAGAATGGTTGACTTGAAACATAACAGAATGAAATAGCTATTAAACAAATAGAATTCTAACCAGGTAAGATGCTAATTTCATAGCTTTCTATCCCTTAGCAGTGATGTTTGTTAAAACAAGCAAAATTAAACTGACTTAGTTGGTGATAGAAGTCCTTCTCCCCAAATACTCTGGAGAATGGTAGTGTCTTGTGTGTATCTGTTTCTTCTCTGGGGATGTTTAATTAAAAGGTCATTTTATCTTTTTACTGATGCTTCACCCATTGGAAAAATCAATGCAGAAAAAGTATTTTTAATGTTGTTTTTGCTTATTGCACAGTTTGTTTGGAGATAATTGGAATCATCAATGCAGAAAAAGTATTTCTAATGTTGTTTTTGCTTATTGCACAATTTGCTTGGAAATGATATAATTGAACTTTAACTGGTTTTACATACCCTTCAACTTTATAGAAGTATAATTTAACTTCTATGCCTTTAATCATTTCAGCAGCAGGTAATGAGGTCAGTGTATTACCTATGAGTTGCTGATATACTCAAATGTGAGACGGTTGGCAGGTTGTTAAGCTGGGATACAGGAGGCGAGTGACAAGGTCCTCTCTTGTAACTTTTCCAAAGCGTTATATAAGTTCTTACTTGTTCATATTTTCCCTCTTAAATAATTTCTTTTCCTCTCTAATTTGTTATAAACTTGGGTATTTTTAAAGTAGATTAGAGAGGAACCAACCAGCAAACAAACAAACAAACCCCACTGGAATTTAGAATCACGAGCTTTAATTGGAGTCTTCCCTCTGCAACTCCTTTATCAGCTCTTCAATAATGTTTACTCCTCTGTAAGTGAAGAGTAAATAACTCGAAGATCTCCTTACAGTGGAGCAGTTTGCAAGATTTTCTAGTTTTTGGCTTGAATTGGGCAGGCTGGTATTTGGTTACCTCTTGCCTTGTTGCTAGGTCAAGTTAATTTTAGTTCGAAGTGCCCCTGTGTACAACCAAATGGTGCACTGCCTGGCCCGGTGGCATCCTCCCAGGTTTAGCTGTGTTTGAGTTCAATTGCAGTGAAAGTGTCATTCTACCTTGCTGAGGGTCTTCCTAGTCTCTGACTCGCTGCGTTACCAAGCATAATCTTTCTGGGTAACCCCTCTACAGTGTGTAAGACAAAGTCTTGCATCGTCTTTTCTAAAGAGCATTGTGGTTATATTTCTTCCAAGACAGATTTGCTAGTCCATAGTGCTTTGAATATAATATATTCAAATTCATAATTGAACATAATAATTAAAATATAATCCAAAGGCATCAATTCTTCTTTGATCTCCTTTATTCATTGTTTAGTTTTCACATGCAGGTGAGCAGATTGAAAGTACCATGGCTTGGGCTAGGCATAGCTTAGTTCTCTAAGTGACATCTTTGATTTTTAACACTCTAAGATGTTCTTTTGCTGCGGACTTGCTCAGTGCAATACATCATTTGATTTCTTGGCTGCTGCACCCATGGGTGTTGATTGGAGATCCAAGTAAAATGAAATTCCTGGCCAATTTAATCTTTTCTCTGTTTATCATGATGTTGTTTATTGGTCCAGTTGTGAGAATTTTCTTTATGTTGGGTTATAATTCATACTGAAGGCTGTAGTCTCTAATTTTCATTATTGATTTAAGACCTCATTGTTTTCCAGCAAGCAAGGTTATGTCATCTGCATATCACAGGCTGTTACTGAGCCTTCCTCTAAATCTGGCACTGTATTCTTCATATAGTCCATCCTTTTGGACTATTTGATCAGAGTACAGAATGACTGATTATGCTAATATTCTTCATATAGTCCATCTTTTTAGATTATTTGATCAGAGTACAGAATGACTGATTATGCTAAAAGATACAACCCTGGTGCATACTTTTTCTGATTTTATTCCCTTGTAATGTTTGAATGACCAACTGCCTCCTTGTCTATGTATATATTCCATGTGGACACATTACTTATTTTGGAATTCCCATTCAACAATGTTGTTTATAATTTCTTATGATCTACATAGTCAAATGCCTTTGGATAGTCACTAAACACTGGTAAACCTCTATAAATGTCCTTTGCCTCCTAGTTCTTTCCTCTATTTCCTTTTACTTTCCCCTTGTCCTACCATCATGTTTAGCCTTCATTCGGGTTTAGTAATTCTGTGCTGCTACATTGCCCTTGACTAAGTCCCACTAGGTATCCTACACCCTTCTTTCCATTGATTTTAGTTCACTTGTTTTTCCCTTGTCCCTGGGTTGGTTCCCCCTCCCCCCACCTCCCCCTTTCCCGTATCCCCCTGGAGCCATTGGTCCCATTCTTTTCATCTCCAAATTATTTATCTCGCCTCTCTTGTCTAGATAGACATGCAGATACAAAAACAAAATAACAATAGCGAAAAGAAAGCCACTGACAAAAATGGAAAAGCTTATAAATTGT